TGTCTTTTATCACATTCATATTCAGTCCGTTCTCTAGGTTAATCCCACACAGAATTTGGCTACCACACACGAATCTCTGCAGGTCGGTCCCGCCGTTGCGTATACCCGCAAATATGTTTACGTGCTTTGTATTCCCTTGTAGGCTCTAGCTGTACGCCTAAGCAAACATTACCTTTTACTTACAGCATGCAAATTCTCGAGTTCTGAAGCTTGAAGCTCAGTTGCAAGAGAAAGTGAACGAAAGACAGCAGGCCTCCTCTCCAGACAATCAACTTTCCACGCAAATGGCTGGTTTGCAGCTCAATCCGGCTGAAGGCGACCGGTCTCAAGAGGTATCGGGCCAATCTGCATAATTGTTATTTATTTGGCAATGCCTACTTATTTTTGTTAAGTAGCCATGGATATCTCCATCTTTTAACACCAGCGTATCAGCAGGAATGATATTTTAATTGAACGAAATACTATTTACCATATTGCCACAAGCGCCTTGGTTTTAACGTATGCATCAAAAAAATCCCACTTGTTTTCAATAGTTGCCTAGCATTTAATCCCCAGCTTTCCCCAAAATTCCCGTAGATCTACCATAACATCCATTCAGGTGTCATTCTTAAGCCGTCTGTTCGCTAATTTCGAATGCAACTAAATTCATTAGAGATGATATTTGTCGGGCACTTCATGGCTGATTGAAGAATTTATAGAGTTTCAGGAAGATATGCTGGTGGCGAACAGGCCCTTCGTTTTCGTAAGCCTATTGGCTTCGCTTATCGAACCCCAATAGTTTATGAGTAGCAGAGAACAGTTCGAGTTCTCTTCGTTTAGCCAAGAATTTATAATTGTGCTCTTTGCGAATATTCTTTGCACACGACTTTCTAGCCTCGTTTTCATGACATCCCTGTAGTGGGAATGTATGCGACTGCCTCTCTGATGATGGGTTAGCGCGGCAATCCGAATGGTCCGGCTAATAGACGTTTTTTTCAGTTATCGCATCTTCTCCTTCCGAATGTATTTTCTGTTAACTAGGTGTCTTGCCTAT